GCAGGGTCTGGTGTTGCTTTGAGTTGGTGTGTCCTGATCTGTGGGGTGCTTGCTTCTGGTGATGAGGTTGCATTGTTATTGGAAGGCCAGAAGAGGAGGGTTGCAAAAGATTTCTTTCAGGAAGTGGTCCCTGTCAAGTATGGGATGGAATTGTTTGATACCTCATATGGATTCCAGTATGGGATGGGAAGTGACAACTAGGGATGTGCGGTCGAAGGGTTTTTTATTTTCTGTATTGAAGCAGGTTCTCTCAGGGCATTTGGGTGGCCATGATGCAATCTACTTACCTGGTGGAGTGTCCTTATTTGGTGGAGGTGTTTTTAAGTGTCTTAAGGTATGTATCCCAAACTTGCTCCTTGAGCATGTTCTGTGCTATGTAAGTGCCTGTCTCTAGATAAGATTTCTTGGTGTGTTTGGGGTGGTTACTCAATTTGTGAAGTTAAGAGTGGTGATCCATGGGTTTCTTGTACATAGTTGTCTGTACGGTTCCATTGCTGAAGCTGATCATGGTGTCCAGGAAGTTGATGCCAGTGTGGGATTGCTCTAGAGAGAGTTTAATGGATGGGTGCTGGTGGTTGAAGTTGTGGTTGGAAATATGAGAGAGTTTACGTTGTCTGTCCAGAGGATTAAAATACCATCAAGATATCTCAGGTATATCATTGGTTTTGTGGTGCATTATCTGAATTGCAAATAAAGGTCCTGTTCCTCTCTGTCCATAATCAAATAAAAGTGTTTTGTGTTTTTATTAAAATTTAACATCTCCTTCAATTTAGTTACACTGAAATAACCTGTTGCTCTGAAGCCACCTCCTCTATTGTTATGGTGGGATTCCATTCCTAAATGTACCTAGTTAAGGTTGTTCATGCAATCTGATTTCCTGATTGGATAAACATCTGTAAGTGCTTTATCACTGAAAGGAGGACTTTCCCAATTGAATCAACTCGGAAGTGAATTTTCACTAAAATGGATTTCCTTTAACATTTATCTTTGTTCATTTTAGTATTATGAAAGATATTAAATGAGGGATTTCTCTCTCATAAATCATTTTTTCTGCTTTTCAGTGAAATCATTCATGGTCATTGTTGTTGCATTTCAAAATCAAGTGGTGGTGGGATATGGCTTGAAAGGGCACAAAAACACACTTTTAAATGGGGAAATGGAGATTTTACTGACTACGAACACATGCAAAGTAACCAAACTTAAGTTTTTGTCTGTTTGTTATGAAACTAGGAGGTCCTTTAAATAACCGCAGCTCCCACCTCATTATTTAATAATATCATCACAAACATCAGTGGTTTTAGCCATGTGTAGTGATAAGATGGAAGCATCCACCTTGCTAACTTGGCTGTTGTAATTAAGTCCTTAAGCCAGGGCATTTTCTTCAAGCAGTGGCGAGGAACTTGTGGCAAATCATGTGGAGAGATTTGTGACATGATTGAGCTCAATACAGCAAGCCCAGGGATCAAGACCCTAGACAGGGAGACACCACGACTTCCAATCTTGAGGTGGAGGTTAGTAATATGTTCATCATCAGAGGGTTAAAACACCAAGTCAATATTTCAGTTTAGTTCTGTTAGTAACAATGGCAGATTTACAAAGTGGATGTGAATAAATAGCAGCTTAAACTTTTCTGTGGCAAATGTCTTTTAGAGCACTCTATGCTCTCTCATTCTCTCTTGCTCTCAGCATGGCTCTCAACGTGTTGCGTTTCTTCAGTCCAGAAGAATGTGCTGAAATTGTTCTGTGGATGAACTGCCAGAGGTACTCTACAAGTAGTGTCCCTGGTATCCTCTTCTCTTGCACGTTGAGCATGGCTCTGTGATTCAGGGTACATGCTCCCCAAGTAGAGCATTTGACAGATAACACAGAGATTAAATCTATTTGTGGGGGAGCTGTAGAGCCATTCTGGATTTCCGTTTTCATAGAATCATAGGACTGGAAGGGACCTGGAGAGGTCATCTAGTCCAGTCCCTTGCACTCATGGCAGGACTAAGTATTATCTAGACCATTCCCGACAGGTGTTTGTCTAACCTGCTCCTAAAAATCTCTAATAATGGAGATTCCACAACCTCCTTAGGCAATTTATCTCAGTATTGTTTCCCATTGGTATCTTTGACCTTTTTCTAACAGTTGCTGGATTAATCAGCCTTTGATTGTCAGGAGTGCTGTGTGGGCCACTTGTAGCTTATTCCAGTCACTACTAAAATAGTAATCAAAATACACATATTTTCAAACTTTTATAGGCTTCCTGCATGAATTCAGTATCTAGTGTAACATGTTGGGTAACATAGCTGACACCCTTGCTACATTCTTGGTGATCTTTGAGTCAGACATGGCACTTTTCTAGTTTGATCCTATCTGTGTAGTAATGGTTTTGGTAGCAATAAGTCAACTCTAGATTTTTCTCTGTGAGAGCAGCTCTGATAATGCTTATCTCTTTGATTTCAAACTCTGTTTGCTGGAGTCCTGTCAATATGTCACTAGCCCATAGAGTAGCATGTGGCTCCTGAGTCTGTCATCTGATTTTTGATTGTGCTTGGAGTTTTTAAAATGATGAGAGAAGCATGAAGCTGGAATTGTTGTGAGCCTGTAGCACTGAAATGCTGCAAAGCTCTAGAAATCCTATCAGCAATACAGTCATGGGGCAGTCCATTACATTCTTAGAAAGCTGTTGCCTTTTGTAGTCTCTTGATATGAGTGTAGAATCTTACTGCATTTTAAAGAGAAATAATATATGGAAATGTTTTTTCTTGCTCAAAATGAATGGAGTATTTTCAGTGTTATTATAATATATTTATATGTTCTCTGGGGCCTCTGCCTTATATCAGAGTGTTGCCTTGACTTCACTTCAGCAAAGAAAACTGCACACCTTTACTTTGATGCTGTGCCTGGGACTGTTTACAAGATAGCACTCTGTTTAGGAGAAGAAAAAACAAGCTCTGTGGAACACCTGAATCTGTTAAAAGGGACACTGCTAACATCCTTTCCTTTTCCAGAATGTTGTGGTTAATGGGTTAGTGTGTGTATGTAGATATATATGTTTGGATCGGAACTTTTGCTGATGGTTCTGTGATGGGTAAATTGCTATAAAAAATGGTGGAAGCAATGGCTCTACCTTTTTGTGGCATTACAGTAAAATTTCAAAAAATCCTTTTTTTCTTTAGTGTGAAAGCAATGAGCAGAGGAGGTAGGTAAATGGGAACCTGTAAATGAGACTAGTGAGTGTGGTCTCAAATATTTGGAAAGTTAAATTTAGCTAGAATTCCATTCAGAAGACATTGGAATTACAAAATTTAAAGTGTGGCTATGTAAGATGGTGATATTTTTCTCAACAGATCTTTTCCTTGTGTACATTCACAGACATAGCTGTTTAATGATAAAAATGATTCTTTATTGCTTTCTTATTCCTGTTAACTCTGTACAGTCAACATAGCTAAGAGAGATCAAATTGAGTTTATTCCATCTCGTGCAACAGTAATAGAATGGAATGTAAATAAACCAATTGGCTAAACCTGTACAAATTTTGTGAGGGCAATGGGCATTCAAGAGTGCTGCTAACACCTTATTTGGTGTGCAGAATCTTTATTTCTTGTGGAGACATGCAAAATGGGAAGAGCCCAGCTTAACTTTCTGATCCCAGAATGAGTTTACAGCATTAGCAGCTAGCAAAATGCTCTTATGGAATAGCTGAGCCCATTTGATCTGGAAACCACTGATGTACAATACATTTGGAACCTCACAATGACCGTTTTGTAGCAATCCTTCTTTAATATCCCCACTTTAAGATGAAAACAAAAGTCCAATAAACATTTCTTAGGTGTTTGCTCACTGAATTTGTTGGCACTGTGCCCTTCTGGATTTCACCCTCCAGCCTTTCAAACTCCTAATGACAGGCATTGTGGGAAAGAGTGGGGAGGGGTGCCTTGATTCATTTTCTTTTGTGAGAATTACATCATCACTATTCTGCATGAGTTGTCATTCCAAGTAGCACTCTGGTCTTTGTTCATGCTCAAGCCTGGCCAGTATATCTATCACAAGCAGGGTTGGTTTACAAAAATCCATAAATGAATGCTGGAAACTGAACTATCCCAAGTGATTTTGGCTGATAGTTCATTAAGGCCTTGAGCAAAGAGAGGAGTTGATATTTGAAGTTGCTTTGAAATGATTTCTGTACACCTTTCAGCATTTAGGAATGCTGCACAACCGGCTTGATGTTGCTCTGTGTGGGAGTAGGATTTAATGGTTAGAGCAGGAGACTGTAAACCAGGACTACTCCCCTATAAAACAGAGAGATTTGCCTACTTCACAGGGGTACGCAAATATTTGTATTATACAAATTTGTAGAGCACTATTAGATCCTCAGATAAGTCTAATAGAAGTGCAAAAAATTACTCTTAGAAAGGAATGGGTGTGTGAGGCTCATACAGAGATTGTTTCTTTAGGTACTTAAGAAATTCTAGCTATGTTTTGATGGGTAAAAAGAGGTTTATAGTTAATGGCATTCTCAATTATCTAAGAAGTAAAAATAACCACCATCAATTATTTTTTTTGCTAATATATGGAGTCTGTCTGCTTCTCTTTGTGTAGTACAGTGTTGCTGTACTCTTGAATCAGATGATCTGTGATCATTTGGCTTACATTAGCTAGTTCTTGATGGAATTGATTTCTAAGTTATGTATAGATAGTGGGAGAATACTACAGAAACCCCTGTAATGTCAGTAGAAAAACTAATTAGCTAACTACTTTCACAGTATGGCTGTGATATAAATACAGGTGGACCGATTATATAAGAACTTACTGTGCAAAAGGTTTTATCATAAATCCTTGAAATAGTGTTCCTGAAGGACCATGCCCATTATTCATCCCATGTGGGTAAGAACAGAATTTGAGATGAGAATTTTTCCCCCACATTTCCTCATATATCAGGGCTAAATGATTGTTTAAATTCACTCATGAAAAGTGCATCTTCCTCTTAATGATTCTTTTGTTTCTATTTGTAGGCTCTCAATGTCATTTGGAAGATGGATTCCGCCATATCTGGATTAAATTCCTTGTCCTGCAGATGACTAGCATCTTCTCTAAATAAGAAAGTGGGAGAATATTCTGCTCTGACAAAGGCGTCCTGGACAGTAACTCCACCACAAGGAAATGCAGCTACGTTTCCATGCCCTCTTGCCCAGGTTTAGCACTGCTGCAAAGCCCCAAATCCAGATTACATAATCCCCTCTTCCAAAGTGTAAACATGATTTTATAATACTATAAATATGCATATATAAATATACTTTGTATTTTTTCAAGATCTTTGTTAGAAACTGGCTAATTTAACACTTCAAGGAGTATGTGCTGAGAATGATGTGCTGTAGCCTATTCATATAAAATTGTGTGTAGCTTTTAAAAATATTAAAATTAACGTTACCCTTACAGCATATTTCATCCATGTTTCCCCAAGACACATGCCCACAGGTTCCTCTGCTTCTTGTTCTTTCTGATTTCATTTTGGGGATGTGCTTTTGTATTTTTTGTTTTGTTTCAAAAGGTTCTGCATATAGTGGGAGGTGAGGCAACACTGGTCTTGGCAGAACACCACAAAACCAAGAGAGTAATTACATGACGCAAGTCTTTGATTATTTTTTTCTCTGTAAAACTTTCTGGCACGGCTGGGCATTCCAGTTGCAAAAGAAGGAACAGGAGAAGAAACTTCTAAAGATCTGCACGGAGAGTTAGAAGAACTTTTCTGTTAAAGTTTTACTACCTAAAATAAAAGCGCTTCCCAGCGCAGTTCCGGAATCTCTACTTTTTCATCCCTCTCAGAACTGAAGATATCTTTTCACCACTTCCATTAGAAGCAAGGCTTTATTTTGGTTTTGGTGGGCCTGCTTTTTTACTAGTTGGGTTGCTCTATGTTCTGTGGGAGGATTATAAAAGTATTAACAGAAGTCTTGCATTTTACTTGTCCTGGACCCTGCTGGACTTCAGCAATTACACTGTCTTCAAGAGGGTTCTATTGAAGTGACAGTCTGTTCAGAAGAAGGATGTAACAGCAAAGCAGTTGCACTTGAAAGACCATGGATTCCTTCATTTTGCTTGCTTCTGTTCTATTGCCTGTAAAGCATCATCATCCCTGCATCATCAGCAGATGAATGATAGCATCCTGCGCTGGATTTAAAATAAATATATATATATATAGCTAACTCATGAGTTCCATGTGTCCACATCGAAGGAGAAATTTTGTTTAAACTGTATTTTAAGAGGATTGGATTGTACTCCTTAATTTTCACTTTGGGTAAAGGATCTTGCCAATGAAAGACTTTCAGTCAAACAGAGATACAAAAGCCTTCTTCATATTATAGAGCTAAATGTGAAAGATGTCTTTGAAAAGGACATATTTTTCTGTGGGACGGGGTGGCGTGCAGGGGATGTTTACTCCACGTAATACAACTTCCATAGCACCCAGTAAGGGCCTCAGCAATGAACCAGGACAGAATAGCTGCTTCTTGAATAGTGCTTTGCAGGTAAGGATGCTGTATACAGTTTCTGTCTTTGTATTTCACCTTTTTCTCTTTGCTTTACATTCTTACTGTTGCTAACTTGTTCTTCTAGGATCTATCTACACAACAAATACAACCAAATTAGGGGACTTTTGCAACACCATTGTCTCCTGACACCAGATAGAATACAGTTCCACTTTGTACTGTAGATTAACTGTGTTCCATCACTGGGCAAAAGCCCTAGACTTTCCAAGATGAAAGTATATTAAAGGTACACAGTCAACTTAAAAATTACACTTCTGTCTGAATTTTTTAATTTAAAATGAATAAAACTGAAGGATTAGAGAAACCTGCTTTTTCATTTTTTATGTTCAGTTTTATGTGGTGCACCGTCAATTATTCCTTTTGTTTATATGGGTTTTCTTACAGCAACAGGAGAAGAAAAATATTTTTAAGAAATAGGAAACTGATTTTGAAACCACAAAAATTGGCAGGGCTTCTGGCAGGTCTAGTTCCTGAAACTAACTAATTTTTTTAAATGACTAGATTCAGTTGATAGCGTCCATTTAAAATCCCTTTTGTATAGTCTGTATTCTTTGACTCTTGAATTAGAGATCACAGGCTGGTGACTTGATGAGAGAAGTACTGACTTTTTGTCTGTGGGAGTTCAGTTTGAGTGAAATAAGTTAGGTTCATAGTTCATGTCCAGCTATCATTCTTTAATTCATGTGAGACGAAGAAATGTTCTTCCCTGGAACTGCTTTCAGTTCCCTAGAGGAGGTATTCCTTCCAGGTCAAGGCTAAGTCAGAAGTTAAGTTCTTAGTAGATTTATATAGGTAATACAATATTTGCATTGTGACCACTTATACACTATGAATGCCAGTCTTCAGGACTTTAGTTCTTCTCGTTGGAAGGTGTTCCTTAAGGCCCTGTCTGTACATCAGCTACAATTGATTCAGGGGACACCGTTTCAGCACAGTTAAATTGCAGTATGGATAGGACCTAAATGCCTATACACTTAGCACATCAAAGATTGAAAATTTCACTGGCTTGAGATTCAAGATTTGCCATATTAAATTCTGATCCCATGCCAAAGAAGTTGTGTGATAAGACACTTGGCTTGAACTCAGATCTAGATTCAGTTTCTGATTCTGCCACAGATTTCCTATGTGAACCTGGCCAAATTACTTAATTTCTCTGAGCCTCAGTTCCCCATCTGTAAAAGGGAGATATTTCCTTCCTAGAATCATAGAAGATTAGGGTTGGAAGAGACCTCAGGAGGTCATCTAGTCCAACCCCCTGCTCAAAGCAGGACCAACACCTTTTCCTCACACCTTTTGTCTATTCTTTTAAAATTACATTCTCTTTGGGGGCAGAGACTGTCTCTTACTATATGTTTTGTGGCTATCACAATGGGTCCCTAACTCATCTGGCAACTCTAGATGTTACTGTAGTACAAATAAATAATATAAGTGGAAGGCCTAGTGAATAGTTTACAGGCCTAATATCCTATGAAATACCAGGGCTCAAAACAAATGGAATCTAGCACTGGAAAGATGAGATTACCAGTGGCATATATTTCCATTTCTTTTGGGTCATGAGATTTTGTGCATTACGTTCGTAGAGCACTAATTACCGTCTTCCTCCCCAAACTTCAATTCTCACCCGATTTTAGTGCTTGATGCTGTACACCAGTCTGAAAACTTGGGATCCTACCCTTCAAATAGCATACTCTGTTAATCTTTAAACTCTAATGGCTCAAAAGAGATGCTAAAAAAATTGAAGTGGGATATAAAAAGCAAGATGGTAATCAGAATGACCAGATTTTAAAGCTGTATCTCATATTTCATTAAAATAGCTTTTTCAATATTTTTATTGTGGAATGTTAAATTTGTAAAATTTAAACTTAAATCTGAGACTGTTTGAATTATTGCTGCTGTTTATGATATAGATAGTTCCTGTTTTTACATTCAAGAGAAGCAACAATTACCTCATGCAGTTAAATTTAAAAAAATACTGGATTCTTTCCTAAACACAATATTTTCTCCCTTTTGTTCAGTGTGTCATAGCTCTTCGTGAGTTTTGTATGTCATGAGGAGCTGCAAATATTTACCCAGTCTCACAGGAAGGGCTGCAACTCAAGTACAAATATTAACTTTTACATTTTGAACTTTTGGGAAGTTTCACAAATTTAATAACAAATATAATAAAGACAAGCTAGGCCTATGGGCTACAATATATAATAAAAACATATAAGAAAAAATACAGGGTGGATTTGATTTAAATCAAATTGATTCAAATCATTATTTAAATCACTAGTCAGGAATATTTGATTTAATCATGGTTTTCTACATAAAAGTGCATTCTTGTTGGTTGTTATAACCTTAATACATATTCTTCACAACTCAGAAATAGATGTAGGTTTCATTTTTTGAAGGTACACACTATACATTTTTAAACAGTGATTTTATTTTGAAAACTTTTCAGATTAGTTTTATTGCTATATCAGAAAATGAATGATTGGTTATTTCATTTACCAAAGGTAATTGAAGCAGATATTTATGAAGTCATTGGGAGGTGAACTATCTCCAATTCAACAGGTTAATCATTTATATTTGGAGGATTTTCTTGCCATGCTGTATTAGGAGGAGAACATCACCAGACAGACAGTTAAATTGTTTTATTTAACTAAAACAACGACGTTATGCATTCTGGATTTTTTTTCTTCAACAGCAAACGTATAGTATTTTAACAAAACAAGCATATGTCCCTCACTTCACATTCATCTCCAGACTTTTTCTCCTTGTCCAAACCTATTTCACCCCCAACAATCTTCTATTCATTGAATTTTTTGAAACTTTGCACTTTTAGAGAGAGGTAAGGGATTGACTCTGTGTACGCAAATTTGCAGAGGGACAGTAGAGTTGAGGTCAGTTATTTCTCATCTCTACATATTATTTATTTATTTGAAAACATTTTTCCTGTTAACAAGCACGTTACCTCTGGAGACAAAAATCCACTGTTTGAGAACTGCGAAACTAAGCATCTCTGATGGTATCTTCTAAACTGAGTACGGAGTCCCATTGGGTAGACAGAAAGATTAACCTAAATAATCTATACAGAAGCCTGTGGAACCCCATAAAATTGGGTCCCTAATCCATGAACTATTGGAACTCATTTACAAAACTTTTCTTAGACATTACATGAATATATTGTCTCATACTGTAGAATTAAAATTTATAATCCCTATTCCGTGATGAGATATTTTTGAGCTATAATGTATCTTAATTAAAACTATCTTTAGATAGGTTTTTTTCCTTAAAAAGCATTTTATCAAAAAAATCCCATTTAAAAAAAATCATTGATTTTTATACACCCTGAAAAAAATACTTTTACACTTGTAAACTTGTGCTCTAAGGCCCATTACTTAACAAATTGCTAGGACTGGAAACACTTTGGGAGACCAGTACAAATGCTTTCAGGATCAGTAAACTTTTCCAGCAAGTTATCCTGGGCCATCAATCAAGAAGAAAATGTGCACTGCCTGTGCATATGCTATGGAAGCATTTAGTCAGTTAAATGCACAATGCAATTTGGGTCCAGCTTCTTTTGGCACACGCCCTTAAAGATAATGCCTCCTGATGTTAGATATTGAGTGCTGGGTATGCACTAAGGCCCAATTAGTTGAAATTAAGCTAGTTATCAACAATCATATTTATTTATAATGTTTGTTATCTAATGTTTAGTCAGAGGATTGAAAACATTCAGAAAGGTCAATATTATCACAGTTTTTCAGAGGTGGACACTGAGACACAGAAGTCAAGTGATTTGCCCAAGGTAATTGTTTCAGTGTCAGAGCTGGGAAGAAAACCCAGTTCTAACTTTTACCTAACTTTGCCTATAATTTAACCTATATGCTAGCAACAACCAATTGTAAACACTTTTGATGCTAACACATAATAGTCAATACCATGATTTCTATGGGGGGAAAAATACCCATCCATGTTGATCAGGGCTAGAAAATTTCCAGTAGCAACTGTGTGTAAATATGATTGTTGCTAGTTTGATTTCAGCTGCAGTGGAGATAGAACAGTACAGTTTTGGCCAGCAAGAGACAGTTTATCTGTGCAACAGCCACTCCTATAGTAGTGGGTCTTTAATTCTTCCAGCCAGAGTGCTAAGGCTAAGAGATGAAGTACTGAACAAAGGGTAAGTAATTTATAGGTCACCACAACCAGAACATTAGGACTGACAAATTATTAAACATTTTTTCCTGTGAAGAGTATACATTCTTCAGAGTACCTGCATCACTTGCAGCCAGGTTCTGTAGTTGGTCAGCAGACTCATGAGGGGAAAAACAGGAGAAAGTCGTCTTTGGGAATTGGAAGAAAGGCCATCTCATCATTTTGGTTACAATGATTAGTTTTTCTTACATTAGATTCTTAGATTAGCCTAAGAAAATCTTTGTCTGCACTCGCACTTCTGCGGGTAAAACTTTTATCGGTCAGGGGTGTGGAAAACCCCCCCACCTCCCTGACAGACATAAGTTTCACTGACAGACTTTGCGGTGTGGGCAGCGCTATGTCAGCAGGAGACACTCCCACCAACATAGCCACTGCTACTCATTGGTGGTGGTTTAATTATGCCGACGGGAGAGCTCTCGATATAGAGCAGCTACGTGGGAGGCCTTACAGCAGCACAGCTGCAGCGGTATAGCTGTGCCGCTGTAAGGTCTATAGTGTAGACATAACCTTAATCTCCTCTTATCTACTGCCATTATATTACTCACCTTCCAGCATGGAAAGTCAGCTGCTTCTGCTAAAATTGGGAATACTTCCATAAATACGCTTGCAGAAAAGGAGTATGCAAGCAATACAATGTAGTATTAGCACCTTCTCTCCCTAGAACTATCAACTCAAACACCTAAGTCTCCGCCTGCCCATCTTGTGGCTGAGCAATTCCACAGCAAAAGGCTTGAAGATTTAAAAACGTGTTATGGGATCTGAATCCACCCCAGGAGAATTACAGCCTTAGTTAAATGTGTGAGAGAGATGCTGAGGGATGCTCTGTTGGACAGCATGGGTAGTAAACTAGTATCTATAACTGGAAACACGGAGGGCAAGAAAAATGAAAGGCATGTCTTGTTAATGAATAGTTACAATGGCATGAGTGCTTTCTGGAAATATTTGGATTGCATAATTTTAGTTAAAATCTTGTGCAAGATTTTCCTATTCAGATTAATAAAATAACCTCTGCTTCCATTTGCTTTACAGGTTCTTTGGCACCTGGATATTTTCCGTCGCAGCTTCCGACAGATCACGACGCACAAGTGCATGGGAGATTCTTGCATCTTTTGTGCTCTTAAGGTAAGAGATGGGAGCAAAAAAAGAAAAACAGTTTGGAGAAATTGGAATTGTTTACCAGAGACTGTATTTGTGGGTTGCATTTAGTTAACCATTGACACAGGGACTGGTGAGAAGGAAAGTAAATCTACTTAGATGCAGGCTGCAGAGAGTTATAAGATATAATGCCATACCTTCAGGATATTCAGCCAATGGGGTGTGAGAATGTCATGTTTCTGTCTTGAGTTTTCTCCATTAAATGTGTAATTACTCTCTATCCCAGAGGTGGGCAAACTACGGCCTGTGGGCCACATCCCGTCCGCGGGACCCTCCTGCCGGGCCCCTGAGCTCCTGGCCCGGGAGGCTACCCCCGGCCCCGCCCCTGCTGTTCCCCCTCCCCTGCAGCCTCAGCTCGCTCCGCTGCCGGCGCAATGCTCTGGGCAGCGCTGCTGCAGAGCCCGGCCTGACCCAGTGCTCTGTGCTGCGTGGTGGTGATGGCGTGGCTGGCTCCAGCCGGGCAGCGCAGCTGTAGCGCTGCCAGCTACCGGTACTCAAAGGCAGCACGGTAAGGGCGCAGGGAGGGTGTGGGGGGGTTGGATAGAGGGTAGGGGAATTCGGGGTGGTGGTCAGGGGGCGGGGGTGTGGATAGGGGTCAGGGCAGTCAGAGAGCGGGGAACAAGGAGGTTGAATGGGAGCAGAGGTCCTGGGGTGGGGGGCAGTCAGGAATGAGAGGAGGGTTGGATGGGGCGGCGGGGGCCAATCAGGGGCAGGGGTTCCGGAGGCAGTCAGGGGACAGGGAGAAGGGGTGGTTGGATGGGGCAGGGGTCCCTGGGTTGGCTGTTAGGAAGGAAGGGGGTTGGATAGGGTGGCGGTGGGCAGTCAGGGGCAGGGGTTTCTGGGGCAGTCGGGACAGAGAGAAGGGGTGGTTGGATGGGGCAGGGGTCTCAGGAGGGCCGTCAGGGAATGGGGGGATTGGAGGGGCAGGAGTCCTGGGGGGGTGGGGTGGATAGGGGGTGGGGGCCGGCCCACGACCCCCTCCCCTAACCGGTCCTCCATACAATTTCCGAAACCTGATGCAGCCCTCAGGCCAAAAAGTTTGTCCGCGTCTGCTCTATCCTTCTGATAATGGAGCTCTACGTGAAGCTAACAGGAGCCTCCATCTTATTTGAATAGTTTAATTCATTTCTCAAACTCAGTTGTATTTTCTATTTTGACTTTTTGATTTAATTTAATTATTCTCAGCATAGTCAGTGCCCACCTCAGTATCTGCCTTTCCGTAAGAGCTGCTTAAGAAACTAGTTTCAAAGTCAGGAGTTAAGTAATAGAGAGAAAAGGTGAATATGCAGCATCAATGAGTGTATCACCAGTGTTGGTCAGTTATAATGATAGCAGAGAGTGGAAATGTTTCTAACAAGAAAAGATGTATATAGTTTTTGGGGGAAAGAGTCTCTTGCCTGTGAAGTCTTTAGGCTAAAAGTCTTTTTCAGTTTAAAACTGTTGGGGGGAATTTTTCTGAGATGATACTGGACTGTGGAAAAGCTGACTCAAGAGGCTTCTCTCACCAGCCGTATGAGTATTAAGAGTATAGTACACATCTTTATGGAACCTGTTTGCAGACACCATTATTAAACCTATTTCACAGGAGGAGAAACAGGTAGTTAAATATTGTAGACGTGGGCATGGGAGTAAGTAATTCTGGATTCAAATGTTGTTTCTGACACTAACTGGTTTTGTGACCTTGAGTAAATTACTTAGGCCTAGATTTGCAAATGTGTCTTAATTTTGGAAGCCTCCAGTTTTGGGTGCCCAACTTGAGACACTTGGTTTGCTGAGAACCCACAACTCCAATTCAAGTTAATAGAAGCACAGATGTTCAGGACCTCTACGAATCAGGAAAATTAGTCGACATACTTGAAAATGTATACTGCAGCCTCCCTGAGTAGCAGTTTCCCCATCTATAAAAATGGGGCAGTGATATTTACCTAAGTGTCCGATTGTTTGAAAGGCCTAAATAAATTAATTGTATTGTGGTAGCACCTGAAGGTCCTAATCCTGTTTTGCTAAGCACTTTACATACACATAACAAAAAGATGGTCCCTGCTCCAAAGAATTTACATCCTAAGTATGAGACAACAGATTGGTACAATAAAGTGGCAGGGGGGAGCACAAGGTAACAGTGAGATTATAATAAGTGAAAAAGTAGTAATCACAATATGCTAGCTGTCTAACCATTTTTGAGTGACTTGTAGGCATCATGGCAGAGACAAGTTTAAAGGATGAATTCGAAAGAGGGTAGTATAGTGGCATGGTGGATTTTTACAGAAGGGATCTCCCATGCATAGGGACAGCAAGGGAGAGAGCACAAAGATGTCAAATTTTCCATGTGTACATGGACCATGAAAATTTGATATGGAACAGAGGTGAGGGTCGATGGCTCTATACCAGTGGTTTTCAACCTTTTTTGCAGAACCCTACAAAATTTCA